CCTGTTCTAAATGGGGTGCAGACCCAAATTTATCACTCACTTTTTACAGATCTTATATACGCTCGCTCTTAGACTATGGGTGTACTCTATACGGAACTGCTTCAAATACTAATCTGTTGATACTGGACAGAGTCCAGTATAAAGCGATTAGAATTTGCTTAGGTTTAATGAAATCGTCACCATGCCATGCAATTCTAGCAGAAGCACAAGAACCACCCCTAAAACTAAGAAGAAATTATCTAGCTAACAAACAAATCATCAAATATAGATCATATAATACATTACTATCTAACAAAATCTCGAACTTATGCACAGAAAATCTAACCTCCAACTATTGGAAGAAAAAAAAATCTCCACCTTTAACAGATGCTTTTATTGATACCCATTATTTTACTCAAACTTGTGTTGCAAACAAATACCCCATATATAATACCAATTTTGAAATAATAATATTCAAACCATCAGTCATATTCCCCGCTTATACTAGTGTACCGGCGCTTAATAATGCAATTTTAAAAGCTACATTGAGTAACCTTACCATTGACTGTGTCATTTATACTGATGGTTCTAAGAGCGAGCATGGAACAGGCTTAGCTTTTATTATTCCCAGCATCAATATAGTATATCGTTTTCGTATTCCAGATTTATGCTCAGTTTTTACTGCTGAAGCCATTGCGATAGAGAAGGCACTTACTTGGTGTGTACAAAATCTGAGATCAGGAGCTGTAATAGTTACGGATAGCAAATCGGTCCTAGAGGCAATAATTGCCTCTCCATTTAAAAACTATAAAAATGATTTAATCTTAAAAATAAAAAAATTACTCTTTCAACTGTACTCAACAAATAAAAAAATAACTCTAGTTTGGACCAAAGCGCATGTCGGTGTAACTGGAAACGAAAGAGCAGATTATGAAGCTAAAGAAGCTGTAAAAAACGGAAATATCTTAAATTACTCTGTGCCTAGCTTTGACTTATTGGCTTTGTGCAAAAAGGGTCTTCGAAAAAGTTGGGAAGAGCACTACAAAAACGCTATCCCGAATTTAAAAAACCATTACTTCCATATACATCCAACATTACCCAATGATATTGCCCACATTTCAAACTTCGACTTTACCAGAGATAGCACATCAATAATTTCTAGATTGAAATTAAATCATGGTCGGTTCCCAGCCCACCTCTATAAGATCGGTGTAATTAATTCCCCTTATTGTTCATGTGATAGTGAAAAGATTGCAGATTTGAATCATTTATTTTTTGATTGTGAAAATAATAAACAGTTTACAGAAAAGTTCTTTAAAGATCTTATTAATAACAGTTTCCATTTGCCATTGAATATTACCTGTCTTCTAGCCTCAAACCAAAAATATATCTTAGATTTAATTCTGAATTTTATTAGGTCTGCCGATATAAAAATATAAAATTGAAAAAAAAAAAAAAAAAAAACAAATCTGAAACTAGTATGTGGCAAATAGTTTAAAACTAATGCCAACCCACCCCCCCCACACACACACACATAATGAACCAGGTCCTACTATCGAGCTCCTAAAAAAGGCAATTAATACCTAAATGCAATTTTGTTACTGAAAACTGTATAAATGCAATTTTGTTACTGAAAACTGTATAAATGCAATTTTGTTACTGAAATTGTATAAATGCATACTTAGTATATTCATTTCCCATATATTTTGACTTTTATGCTTAGAAGGGCAGAAACTGGACTGGACTGGAATATGAGGTGAAAGAGTTTGTCTTTTTCTAATGCGGCGTTTCAATATCCACATCCGATGCATTTTTTACATCTACATCTGCGTTTGTTTATCCGAGATGTAGCTGTCCAGATTACATTTATTACATCTCGATTTGAAATGAGATGTGAATGAGATGTTCGTTCCATACCAGAAAGTAGATGTTCTGTGAAGCCAAGTTTATCGATTTATCCTTTGTTTATGCTAGTGTGAATATAAAATTGATTAGTTTGTTAAATTTTTATTTAGATTTCAAATTTAGGTTAATTTCTAGTCTCAAAAGTCAAATTTAAAAAGTATAAGCTTCTAACTTGTCATTGTCATTTTATCACGTGACCAATAAAGTCTAGAGCATTTTGTTTATTAAGTACCTACATCTACATTTAAATTCTCTATCACGTGATAAAAAATTCACATCTTAGATGCATCTGATGTGGATATTCAAATGCAGCATAAGTAATCTTGCAGGATATTTTTTATAGATTTCCGTCGAAACGGTAATATCATTTTCGGCGTTTTAGAAAGTTTTGCCATTTTGACCACAAACTGTTACACACAAAAGTTCAAATAAACACATTAACTAAATACGAAACGAAAACGCCTACACATGAACTAAAAAGAATATAAAGTTTTTTAATAATTTCACCCTAAGCGACTTAAATGACTCTAATAAATACTTTTATGCTAATTATGCGGTACTTCATGCACGCCAACGTCCGCCACCTTGTTGCCAAATCAATTAATATGGATTTGAATCTTGACACATTTTCTCATATTACGTAATTCAAGGTTTTCAAAAAATATACGCTTTGGACAAAAAAGTGTATCGGAAAGAACTTGCTGATTTTTATATAACAATTCCCGGTAAAGACTTCGTTTTGCAAGAATTTTTATAATTTGTATTGAAATAATTAAAAAATAAGTTTTTCTGAATGTGTGTTTTACAGGTAGGTATACCAAATTTCATAAAATATATTCAAAATTGAGAAAGAGAACCTTACCTTGAAGTCGTTCTGACCCTGTTTCTAACCGTGGATATCGCTCTTAAAGGAAATGAGAAAAACTCCAGGACCATGTCACAGAAACTCGTTTTCCTTCTAAAAACCAATACTACTTTGGCTAATGCTACAACAGGTATTGAATTGTATCAAAAAGAAAAACCATAGAGATAGAATAGTATATTCTGTAACAAGTTTGGAATGAAAAATCGATACGAGTAGAAGATTCTGAATGCGAGCGTGAAGAATTTCTGTTCTTTCTCTACAGCCACAAACACAGTAGAAGTTAAATATAGTAATATCACAGTTTATAGCTAAAGAATCAGTTCGCTCACTCTGCGTTGGCACTTTTGATCTCACTGTTCCAGTTTATATACTGCGCAACTCGGATTTGTGTCCCTGGCGCATACAGAATCAAATCATAACCAATCAAATATATGACAACCGCCTATATTCAAACACCAGTCATCTGCGAATCCTGAATTTGTATCCCTGGAGTGGATATTATTTTGGAACATTCAACTGGTCCAAGTGAGCTAACTGATTCTTTAGCAATCAACTGTGGTAATATGAAACTTTAAACACAATGAAATATTTAATATAACTTGTGTTAAGACAAGTTTTTACTTAAATTATTTGAATAATTTGTCAGTTCAGGTGGAGTATTATCAAATTCTACATCAGAATCATTATATTTAACCATTTTTGAATTTAAGTTCTACTCAACAAACACCGCTTATCTTTATTCAGAAAAATTCAAACTAAATAATAAGTCACGTAGAACTGTCAATCATGAAATTCATGGATATCTACGATGCGGGAGTAATATTCCCAGCCATGGGCCAGAACTATTACAGAATAAACATTCTGGCACTAGACAAGTGTTTCAGAACTTTCTTTCAATCTCGAGGGCAATGTTTTCTTTTTGTTAGGTATTATAAGTTGTTTCGAATATTTCATAATATTGTTTTCACAACTTCAACATTATCCCAAACTTTTTTGTACTTTACTTGTCATTTTTTTTTCCTCGCTAGCATCACTAATATCTTTATCTTCACTTCTTATCATTACTTTTTGATTTAAATGTTACATTATCACTTTTTGCTAAAATCTATTACGGATTCATTTATGAATAAAATCTCAGAAAATTATCTCGTGCTCAGTCAATTTATACATTTCAAGTAAGCACAATTTAAAAATATTAAATCACATACTTTGATTACTATACGAGGCGAGAGAGAGGTCCGACACGCCCAACATAGGGCGCGGCCATTTTGAACCCTGTGACACAGTTTACAGCTAAAGAATCAGATCGCTCACTCTGCGTCGGCACTTTTGATCTCAATGTTTCAGTTTATACACTGTGCAACTCGGATAATACAATATATGACAACCGCCTATAATAAAACAGCAGTCTTCTGCGTATCCTGAATTTGTATCCCTGGAGTGGATGTTATTTTGGAACTTTCAACTGGTCCGAGTGAGCTAACTGATTCTTTAGCAATAAACTGTGACTTCAAAAATAATATTCACTGACACTAACAGCAGCAAGCAAAATATCAGGTGCGTTTTAATCATCCGCTTCTGCTTCCGGAATTGTCAGTTTAGTCGTTTTAACCTGTCAGATTAAAACAAGAAAACCGACAATTCCGAAGCAGAAGCGGATGATTAAAACGCACCTCTTAAAAATATTGCGCCAAGATGTAGGCAACACGTAATAAGGGTTCAAAATGGCGGAGTTTTCTATCTCCTTTTAAAAGGCACTCAGAAAGCTGCGCAGTGCGACCATTCTCCGTAAAGTAAAAGAAAATCATAGTATGTGTATTAGGTACTATCTTTATACCGCGCATGCTTAAACTGGTTGGATTGTCTGAAACAAACCTACTGACTAATTTTTTAGGGCGCATGCGCGGATTTACGCCCGTATGCACCGTACACGTTTAATCCAGATCAAAGGTTTAATCGCGTTCAGTACCATTTTTAGCTATGGTACTAAACGCGATTAAACCCTTGATCTGGATTAAACGTGTACGGTGCATACGGGCGTTAAAACACGCTTTAAAATGACATTTATTACTTTTTACTGAAATCTATTACCTTTTACTGAAATTTATTACGTTTTAGATTGCCTATCTATTACAATTTTTTGTCTAAAAACAACACTGCTTCTACTGGAAGATCATATTAAATTGTTTAAATAAAATCTAACAACTCAACCTCCAAATCATCTAATGTTTCTTATTTCTTATAATTTTAGTTTTCCCGAAGAAGAATTTAACAAAAACAATATTAAATGCACTGATGAATTAGGCGTTAGTTGTTCAATTTCGATTATGGAACATGTTTTAGAAGAAATGAATTCCAATTATGATTAATATGCAGCAAGAGTCATGATTACCGCAAGCACAACATAAACATAGGAGCATCTTGCACTATTTTTTATTTATTATACTTCTGTTCTTACAAATCCATTAAAATTAAAAAATAAACAATTATAATACTAATTTTTATCAATTTTATGCTGATTAGGTAGGTACCTTATATACCAATATATATATTCCAATAATTGTAAAAATGTCAGTCAAAAAATTCTTTAGTGTTGGCCATGACCGATAAAAACAAAGATATAAGTGATGTCCGTGATAAATACACATGCTTCTGCATAAAATCCAAACTCTCGTTTAAAGAAGAATTGTCATTTGTCTCTCTAGTTTCGACAAGATTGATTTATTTCACTGCCAAAACTAGAGAAAAATGTTGTGACTTAGGTACATTTTATAAATAAAAATACTCAATAATAAGTAAGTTTTTAAACATTTTCGAGGAACAATTTGGAAATCCAAAACTAGTAAAATGATACATAAACATAATGTGACGATAGTCTAATTAATGTATTGTTTATTTATTTAAAACACACTATTTACAATTTATTTCAGACGTACTAATTAATTTATATAACACTTAGGCACTAACTTACAATTATAATTTATTTATTACAATTTTACTTTTCTGTCTAACACTTAATACTAAACTAAACTGTGCGCCGATGAGTCGGCTATTTATATTAAATCCAACTCTGCTACTAGAAGTTTTCAGACGGTCTCGAAAATTCCATCTCTGACTCAACGGCACACTTCGCCAGTTCTACCCGTTTCTCGAGCCTCAGCGGCATTCTCAGAACATTCCGTCGCCTCGAGCATGAGTCGGGGCCAGGTGAAGGTCGCGCTTGCTTTAGACACAGGGTAGGCTTTAGGAATTTCATGACAATAATTCACGCTACATTAGTGTAACGTAATTTGTGTTGTACTGACAGTTAACCTTTATTTGTTTTCTTTTATATTGTTATAAATAAGTAATTTAAAGGTATTTAACTAATTATTAGAGAGATATTGCAAATTTCTATAACGCCAGCCACTAATAGTGATATCGTAATTAGAGTCAAATAAATTCCATGCCAAAATCAGACTTATTGCAAACCTGAAATTTTGACATTAGACTCCTTGTCCTTATACTTATTTCTAGCCTCATTTTAATAACTTTAAATTATAGTTCATCTTTTTCGTACCTAATAATGAAGAGGCATTAGAAATTATAATTTAAGAAGGTTTAGATGACGATTATACTAAATATTTAATAATAAAAAATTTCGAACAGATACGAGCGCATCCGAAAGCTATAAAGTCGCCATTACCTGCTGCCCTTAAACATCCACAATTAAGGACAGGCACAATCTTTAATAAAGTCAGTTTTAGAACATAAACGATCTGTACATGCTTAGATGTCAAAATAAGAGCGGCACTAATATAGTGACTGATCTTAAGTGAACTTGCTTGCAATAACTCTCTAAAACTGTTTAATAGCTATTTATGCAACCAGTTTTACGTAAAATTCCTTATTTTGTGTAACGAGTGAATATTTGCAGGACGAGCAGAGTGAGGTCCCGCAACATGAACCATTTACATAAAAAGGCATTTCGTAACGTGTTGCATGCAATTATTTTTCTAATTTTGACTAGATTATTTATAAAATTGTGTTCTGGTAAAAGTACCTACTTACATCTAGACAACCAACAATACATTCTTGTATTGTTAGTTACATATGTATAACTTCACTCATTTCATTGACAAACAGAAAATATTAATTTATTCACAAAGACTTGTAGTGTGCTTATATTGCTTGTTAAAGTTGTTTAGTTTTCCAGAAAGTGGGTTATTTTGTCGTGTATTGTGTTTTAATTATTTTGTGCTGATTTAGAATGGAAAATAAGGACCAAAACAACATTATTACTAGATTATAAGTTTCATCAATTTCAAATGGGAATTGGGGGGTTTCAATTTATTTGAATTATGAATGGTTAATTTGTGGTTAAATTTTTTGAGAAAATATTTGTTTAAAGGTTTTCGGTCCAAATTCATTTACATAAGATGTATTCTAACTGCAATACATAATATCATAGATAATTGATTAAATTTAAATATTTAATATCGAACACAATGAAAATGTTATTTAAAAAAAAGCGCTTCTGAATTTTTCATAAATTGGCAGGCTTGGCGACTAGTATTTTGAATAAAAATAGCGTCCAAGATGGAAGGCTATTCTCAACCCCTTTCCATATGCGAGCCCTTCCCACTGGCAGTTATTTGACAGGTCGTTGGAATGCCTAATAATTAAATAATTAAATAACTGTGAAATACCTAAGGTTCGACATGGGATAAAAACTGTGAGGGGTACAATAAGCCTAGAGCTTCAGTACAAGTGGGCTTTGAACCACGCCCTAATTCAGATAGATAGATAGAAGGTTCGACATGTGGATATATTAAAAGATGGTTTGTGAATAAAATTTTTACAAAACTAAAGGTCTTCAATTATTTAATAAAATATTAGTTCTTAGTAAAATATCGTATTTTTAAAGCGGAAAATAGATAGAATTATTTGATTCTTCAAACAAACCATTGTCAGGAGGTGAATCGGCATACTCGAAATACGGTACCAAAAAACGAACGCTAATTGAGGCTTTTTTAATTCACCGCAAGGGCGCTGGTGCTAGTACCGCTGTTCAAAATACATGGCTTCTTATGGAAATTTTACATAATTTTGTAAAAATAATAAAAATAAACTTGTTTATTGCCAAATAAAGCACAGAATCTGTTGTATTTATTTCTAGACAAGTATCGCGTGTTTTAACTGATAAATTATTTAATTTTATCTATATAAAATGCAATTTAGGTAGGTATGACCCAATTCGAAAAGATTTTTTAAATGGTGAAATTTGGTAAGTACAATTTTGTGTCTAAATTTTTTTGAATTATACCTAAATATAATAGTTAAGAGCAAAATAAAACACAGTTAACAGATTTTTTATTGTTATAATAAAAGCATAAAGGTAGATTTGGGAATGTATATGATATTACCACATCCTTTAATTTCGGCTTTCCCTTTTTATTTTGCTAACGGTACCATCAGTAGAAAGAGTCTCATAATATTTGGAAATATCTTCTAAAAAGTGTAGGACAGCATTATCTCTAGAAAGTGCTTTATCGGCCCTAGTAACGATATATATACATGCTGCCACTGTTTAGGATCCTATAAAAAACATTTACAATGACAAAATTGGGGTTCAACAAAAAAATAACAGTAGTAATTCTTTTTATAACATTAATACTTTATAAAAAATCAAATTTTCTTTTCTAGTAAGTTAAATTTAATGTATAATTATTGTTGTTTGTAAGTCAGGATCTATGGCTGTAAAATTTTATTTTATAGAAACTTGTAATAAAATAAAGTACACTTCGTGATACGTGTTGTGACTATAGTTTACAATAAATATTTTATTTAGACATAAATACATTATTTTACTTACATTAGAAGATTTAAAAAGACATTGAATTAATTTCTCCTTGTGTTTTCTTTAGTTTTACATGTAATTTTTATCCTGTTTTACAATATGGAACGAAGTAAATCTTGCTTTAGTGTTTTTTGTCACCCATGTTACTTGTACTCAGGTACTTTTTTTCACATTATTTTGATTCCTTTCACCAATTTTTTAAAAAATCACTTCATTCTACATTGACTTATATAGAAAATGAACGTCAGTGACGTTCGACCTGCCAACTACAGTCAATTTAGCGAACTTTATAAAAAGGACATAAATTTGAAATTTGATCATTGCCGATTCGCCTTCTTATATTTAGTCTTCATAGTCAAGATTTGAGACGTTGTTTCAAAATGGGCTAACCTACTGAAGAAAAAATGGAAAATGCTGAAGGTAAGTACATCCTACACGGTTGGTAGACAATACGGTGGCCTCTTCCGTCCGTTGCTAAGGAAGGATGTGACGCCACGAAATGAAAAATCGAGCTGACAGAAAATATTCTGCTACATTTGTTTTTTAAAAAATCTAATATTTTATTAATATTTAGTGGTATTTATATTTTTATTTTTGGACTATATACTTGTGTTATAGTTTTTATGAAATCGATAATTTGCTTTGCCACAGAACGGCGTGGAAAAATCAGGTAATGATTTCCATCAAATTTCAAATTAATTACTTTTTATTTGAATTATTAAAAGAAATATTATTGGGTGAGTAGTTTATTTTGAACATTTTGGATTAGGGTTCGACCTCTGGGTTTAATTCTAATCACACTTTGTTTTGCAAGCCAGGAGCGAGCCATTTTACACACAAAAATCTGACAAAAATCATTAGAAGAAATATATGAATTGTGCCTAAACTAAAATTAAAGGCTCTGTCGAAGAAGAAGACAGGCAGAGTTGCCCGATAAGAAAGGATAGTTAAACCTCCCGCATGTTTTTAACAGGGATGGATCCGGAGCCTTTCCAGGAGGGTAAGGGGACAATTTTCAGGGTTCATAGCGGGGCCTGACTTTTTTTCGTTAGATTTTAATGGGCAAAGGTAGGGTCCGATTACAATAAGAAGAACACAGCTACGTCATCATTTGGCTAAGTAATTAATTGGCTATCGCTGCCTACTAAGGATTTAGTGACGTTTTAATATTAGGTATAGGAAATATTTTTTTATACCCAACAATATACGAATTCTTTATTTATTAATATAGTTATAGATAATATATATTTGAAATTAGAAATAATGGATATGACGTAGCGGTGTTCTTATTGTAATCAGATTCTATTAACTACTAGGGTTATTAGTCCTAAGGGGAAGCAGATGGGGACAATTGTCTCGTTCTCCATCCTTGGATTCGCCGGTGGTTTTTAAGAGCATAAATGAATTTCTTAGAAATAAGTTAACTGTGGTTGGATAATGTCGTTTTCTGCATGATTTTGAATAATACCTAATTATATAAAATGGAAAAAGACGAAAAATACCACCACTTGTTTATGTTTTATAAGTTGTATTAGACGAAAGTTATTTAAAAAAATATATAATCCTGTCCTAGAGACTGGTCAGTTACTCTGACCATTTTGAACTAAAAAATAA